ACAATGGTGACCAGGGCTCTTACCAAAACAATAAAATCTTGTAGCTTTGGATACATGTGTGATCCCTTAAAGATAATACATGCTATATTTACTTTAGAAAATTTCAACTGGGCACATTTTTGGGGACAGTTGAAAGAAGCCAAGATGTCCTAGAGAAGAGAAAGAAATTGTAGCCACATGCTGCAAACATTGATGGAAACTTTGACTTCTAATTAACTGAGGATATTTATGAGCCAGAATAGGTGTCCCATTTGGAAGATTTCCCCTCCCCTCCTAGTCCAGATAAAACATATCATTTTGGATTTCCCTTCATTTTCTTGGTGACAATGGTCATGAGAATAAATTGAGAAAATGTCCACAGCGGAGACACATAAAACAATAAATAATCAGATAAAGGTCCCAACCCTTCCCTTTTCTATACAAAACTAAAAAAAAGGTTTGGCTAGAGATACACGTTAATTTGCCAATGACGAAGAGCAAAGGCTCCAGGTAAGTGAATGCAAAAGAAAAATGTCAACTTCTAAGATAAAAGTATCAGATGTTGCATATATTTCATGATATGATGTTCATGATGTTCCAATGAACACCTCTAGTATTCCTTTTTTTTTATAATACCATACTGTGTACTATCTATCTATCTATCTATCTATCTATCTATCTATCTATCTATCTATCTATCTATCTCCTAATTTAATCTCGGATATTTATAAAAAAATGTAAAAGCATATATATAACCTTGTTTAACCTATTAAATTGGTAGTGATTTCTATATGACAAGATCTATGGGCCATAAGTACTAACTGCTGTGTTTTGTATGTATATACATGCAGATATATACTGTATTTGTGTTAACATATATATATATATGTCAGATAGTCATTTCCATATAGTTTAAAGAAGACCCCTGGGCAAAATTATTATTTTCCCATTTTCTCATGCAGTGGGACTGTGCCCACACTGCATGGGTTAACTGCTCACTTTCTCCAGGAGCTCAAGGAAAAGCTATAATTACTTGATCCTTCAAACCTTCAGGAAAACAGTGCACCCCCATGTCCAGTGGACTGCTCCTGCTGTCCTCACATCCAGTGCCGGTCTATGAGTGCAACGACATCAGGGACAGTCCATTCACAAGACCACTGGGGTGCAGGGGGGACCAGGAGCAGCAGGGATTGGCAGACTAGGTAAGTATATCTCTGCTCTGCAATCCCCTAGACAAAAACAAGCAGTTGTTTTGGAGTTCTTCTTTACCACTTGGCAACCGCGCTATAGCCTAATGATGGCTGCAGCGTGGTTGTCCAGTTCTAGTTCCTACGGACACAGCTGATCACGTGATGTGGTAAAAGGCCAATCATAGCGGCATTTTACCACGTGATCAGCTATGTGTCCAATGACACAGCAGATCAGCGGGTAAATACAATTGCCGGTTATTCGGCTGCACTTTCGTCATGCTGTCACAGCGTGAGGAAAGTACTGTCGATAACCAGCAATTGTCAGAGCACAGATCGGCACTAATAATCAGTGCCCAGCAGTGCCGCCCACCAGTTCCTGTCAGTGCCCATCAGTGCCACCCACCTGTGCCCAGCAGTGCCCCCCACCAGTGCCCCCCATCAGTGCCACCCAGCAGTGCCACCCAGCAGTGCCCAGCAGTTCCACCAGTCAGCGCCGTCAGTCAGTGCCACCCATCAGTGTCCATCGGTCATGCCCATCAGTGCTGCCTATCAGTGCCCATCATTGCTGCATATCAGTGCAGCATCATCATTGCCGCCTCATGAATACCACCTATCAGTGCCCATCAGTGCTGCCTACCTGTGCCACCTCATCAGTGTCCATTAGTGCTGCCTATCCATGTCACCTCATCAGTGCCCATCAGTGCTGCCTGATGATTAAAACACCCAGTGATGATTAAATACAACCAAAAGAAAGCTCTATGTATATGAAAAAAAATGATAAAAATTTCATAAGGGTAAAATATTGCATGACCGCGCAATTGTCATTCAAAGTGCGACAGCGCTGAAAGCTGAAAATCGCAAGGAAGGGTGTAAAAGTGCCCGATAGGCAAGTGGTTAACACGATTTAAGTGAGCTAAAAGAAAATCCAACTGCACTGATTACTTATCCCCTGGAGAGCAGTAAGTTTGAATCCCACTCTCTTGAAACAGTAAAGCTCTTAGAAAATCTTTATCATGCAACACCCTGGAATACCCGTGTCCCCCGCTAAACTGTAATTCCCTCCGCCAATCCCTATGGTTCTGAAGGACTCAGTAGTGATGTAACGACTGGTGGGAGGAACCATTGAGCTCAATTGGGGGGGGGAGCAAGTGAAGTATGGAAAGTTGATGATCTTGTCAGAGACTGTAATGCTTGACAGTAGTGAAGATTAAACTCGCTGGCCTCCGGAGAGCTAAGTGTCCGTTTTTCTATAGCAGGAGCAGTGCTTTGGATTTTTTTAGTTAGGCAACAGAGTCACTTTTATTTCCTACTGTTTGTCACCTGTTTTATATATGGTTTTTCTATTTTGTTTATGTAATTTTTGTTCATAGAGCTGATGAGGACATCCAAAATGTGTAGGCTATGATCACAACAACCAAATGGAGCTCATTTGACTAAGAACAGGGACAGCACAGTGGCTAAATGGTTAGCACTTCTGCCTGGCAGTACTAGAGTCATTGGTTTGAATCCCAACCATGGCACCACCTGCTTGGAGTTTGCATGCTCTCCCTGTGCTTAGGTGGGAGTCCTCTAGGTACTCAGGTTTCCCCCCCTGGGCACTCGGTGGCTGGGACCCAGTGATTGACATGCTGAGGAGCCAATCGCAGCATGGGTAGGGAGCATGCACACACACCCCCTCCCCAGAAAGCCAAAATCACATATATATATATACACATGATTTTGCGCATCTCTACCACCCTGTAGCAGTACTTCTGCTATAGGGCGGTCGGGAAGCGATTAACCCAAAATTATTTTTATTATTATTGAAATGAGCAAGAACAATGCTATACCTCCCAACTGTCTCTGATGTCAGGGGACTGTCACTGATTTGGAACAAAGTCCCTCTGTCCCTCTTTCTTCCTCATTTGTCCCTTATTTTGGTCTGATCTATATAGTTGTATATAAAATGCACTATTTGTCTTTCAAAAAGTTGGGCAGCACAGTAGCTAAATGGTTAGCACTTCCACCTGGCACTACTAGGGGTGTTGGTTTGAATCCCAATCACGGTACCACCTGCCTGGATCTTCCATGTTCTCCCTGTGCCTAGGTGGGTTTCCTTCAGGTACTCCAGTTTCCTCCCACACTCCAAAGACATGCTGATAGGTGAATTGGCTCCTGTCTAAATTGGCCCTAGTATATGTATGTATGAATGTGAGTTAGGGACCTTAGATTGTACACCTCTTGAGGGTTAGGGACTGATGTGAATGCAGGGGCGGACTGACAACTCATGGGGCCCCCGGGCAATAGGGGATCATGGGGCCCCTGTGTCATCGCCCACACCCAAAAAAGCCTATGAAAAAGCCAATGAAAGGTACCAGGAGCATCTCATGGGGCCCCCTACTGACCCCGGGCCCTTGGGCAGTGCCCGAGTGCTCGAATGGTCAGTCCGCCCCTGTGTGAATGTACAATATATATATGTAAAGTGCTGCGTACATTGACAGCACTATAGTATAAGGCTTTGTTCCTGCTGATTGGAGTAGATAACTCACAATTTGTTGTACCATACTTTGCTCCCCACTATACGTAAGTCCCCTCCAGGCCATCACATCTTGTGCATGTGAGCAACCTATACCCCACGGGTGTCAGACTGGCAGCCCTCCAGCTGATACCAAACTACAAGTCCCATGAGGCATTGCAAGATTGACAGTTACAAGCATGAGTCCCAAAGGTAGAGGCATGATGGGACTTGTAGTTTGGCAACAGCTGGAGGGCTGCTAGTTTGACACCCCTGCTATACACTATAGAGCACAGGTGTCAAACTGGCGGCCCTCCAGCTGTTACCAAACTACAAGTCCCATGAGGCATTGCAAGATTGACAGTTACAAGCATGAGTCCCAAAGGCAGAGGCGTGATGGGACTTGTAGTTTCGCAACAGCCGGAGGGCCGCCAGTCTGACATCCCTGCTATACCCTATAGAGCACAGGTGTCAAACTGGCGGCCCTCCAGCTGTTACCAAACTACAAGTCCCATGAGGCATTGCAAGATTGACAGTTACAAGCATGAGTCCCAAAGGCAGAGGCGTGATGGGACTTGTAGTTTCGCAACAGCTGGAGGGCCGCTAGTTTGACACCCCTGCTATACACTATAGAGCACAGGTGTCAAACTGGCGGCCCTCCAGCTGTTACCAAACTACAAGTCCCATGAGGCATTGCAAGATTGACAGTTTCAAGCATGAGTCCCAAAGGCAGAGGCGTGATGGAACTTGTAGTTTGGCAACAGCTGGAGGGCTGCTAGTTTGACACCCCTGCTATACCCTATAGAGCACAGGTGTCAAACTGGCAGCCCTCCAGGTGTTACCAAACTACAAGTCCCATGAGGCATTGCAAGATTGACAGTTACAAACATGAGTCCCAAAGGCAGAGGCGTGATGGGACTTGTAGTTTGGCAACAGCTGGAGGGCCGCCAGTTTGACACCCGTGCTATACCCAATAGAGCATAACAATCTCTGGTTTTGCCCCCATATTTTTTTACTTTCTCCGGTCCAGGGTGAGGATGAGAACCCAGGAGCTCTGTTATTTCAGTCCTGACAGTTTCCCTTTAAACTTCCCCACTTACACACATCTCAGGATCTCTTCCTTTCTGTTAGGAGAAAATTCTGCTAAATAAAATATGTCTCCCCTGCGTGTCTGTGACGGCATGTCTGTACCATGGCATAAAGGATTGTTCATGTCTCTTCTGCGCCTCACTTTTGTTTTAATGCTATTCTGACTGTTATCTTTATCAAAGACAATGGAAAGTTTATTCACGACCCGGTATTTGTGTGTTTTTTTTTTGTTTACCCTTTTCTCTCAGGCGTATCTACCCACCGGAGGATAAGCTGCTGTTAGAAAAGTACGAGGGTCTTCTGAGCACAGCCTTCCAGACATTCCTTGCTGGCAGGGCCGCCTCGCTGCAGCGTGAGATGAATAATCCGCTGAAGAGGATGAAGGTGCATCCAGTGTGGAAGAGTTGACAGGCTGGAGCGTATTATAGTCCTCCGTTGTTGTGTCCTCTGCAGGGCTTAGACCAGTCACACCTCGCATCCTGCAACCAACACAATGAAACTGGTATTCATTCCAGTGGTCTGGTGGCAGGAATGTGTCCTCCAGGGAGGTTGGATATGTACATGAGATCATCAGGATGGGAGGAGAGGGAGTCCGCAGTGCAGCATGGAGAGGATTAGGGTCTCGTTCACCATATTCAATGGAAGTTCATAGGACTTCAGTCCTGATAATAAAGCCAGCAACACAAATGAACTAGCTACAGATCTGTGACCTCTCTGCTAGACACACTCCACCGTCAGAGCGCCCTCGTCAGGAAATTTATCATTATGACCATCAGGTGTTCCTGCTTGAAAAGGGGTCTCCAAACTTTGACCTTCGAACTACATCAGGCAGGGGCGTATTTACCACAAGGCAAACAAGGCACTTGCCTAGGGTGGCATTTTTCAGGGGGGCAGCACCTACCACCAGAAGAAGGGATGAAAGAAGGGACATGCGCACCATGGGAACCAGGTGGGATCAGAGAGAGGCTGCAGGCTGCTTTTTGGTTTATGTAGAACCCTATTCTTGATCCTGGGGGTGTCCGGAGCTGTGAAAATGAGTGTCTCTCTATCACCTGGGGGGAAGGAAGGGGTAGTGGAAGCCTCTCCTGATGAGTGTTGGTCAATGTCAGGCTCTCTCCACGGGGGGGGGAAGGGGGGGTGTTGGTCGGTGTCCGTGGGGGCAGACAATTTTTGTGTTGCCTAGGGCAGCACAAAACCTAAATACAACACTGACATCAGGTCCACATGGCCTGAAGCTAGGGTCAATGTCATATTCTCGGTGTGCACAGATTGAGGATTCGGGGTCAGCAGAGACTACCTATTGTCTCCACCTCTCTTCCCTCACAGCCAACAGCCTTCCCCCCACAATCTCCAACACAGCCCCCCCCCCCCACCAGCTGCTCTGCCATCATCCTCACTGTTGGTTGCTAGGACCAATAGCATCATAGCAACCAATAATGTGCTTATCCTAGCTTTCACAGAAGGATGGAACTTTCTCTATCCAGACCTGCTCCACCTCCCGCCCTGCTGCTACAGCCATGCTGTAGGTCTTACTGAGGTAAGAGGGAATTTGATGGGGACGCTGATGTAATGGGGGACTCTGATGGGGTCCCTGTTGTAAGGCGGGGTCTGATGGAGACCCTGATGTAAGGAAGAGCTCTGAAAGGGATTCTGATGTAAGGGGCAAGGTACTGATGGGGACCCTGTCGTAAGGAGGAATGCTGACAGGGACCATGATGTAAGAGGAAGGGGGAGGGACTCTGATGAGGACTCTAATGTAAGGGGGAACTCTGATGGGGTCCCTGATGTAAGGAGGGGTTTACTGGGATCCCTGATGTAAGGGGGGACTCTGAAAAGGATTCTGATGTAAGTGGCGGCTCTGATGGGGTCTCTGATGTAAGGGGGGCCTCATGGGGTTCCTGATGTAAGGGGAGACTCTGATATGGATTCTGATGTAAGAAGGGTGATAATGGGGACCACAATGTAAGGAGGAATGCTGACGGGGGTCCATGATGTACGGGGGGACTCTGATAGGGTCTCTAAGGAGGGCTCTAATGGTGACTCTGATGTAGGTGAGGACTCTGATAAGGATTCTGATGTAAGTGGGGGCTCTGATGGGTCCCTGATGTAAGGGGGGCCTGATAGGGTTCCTGATGTAAGGGGAGACTCTGATATGGATTCTGATATAAGAAGGGTGATGATGGGGACCACGATGTAAGGAGGGATGCTGATGGGGGCCATGATGTAAGGGGGATTCTGATGAGGACTCTAAGGAGGGTTCTAATGGAGACCCTGATGTAAGGGTGGACTCGGATGTAAGATGGACTCTGATGGGGGAACCTGATGTAGTGGAGGACTGTGAAGGGGACCCTGATGTAAAGGTGGACTCTGATCTAGGGGGGACCCTGATGTAAGGGGGGACTGTGATGGGTACCCTGATGTAATGAGGGAGTCTGATGGACACTCTGGCATAAGGAGGGACTCTGGTGTAAGAGGGACCCTGATGTATATGGGAGATCATGGTGTAAGAAGGGACTCTGATGGGGATTTTTCTGTAAGGGGAGCTCTGATGAGGATCTGGATGTAAGGAAGGACTCTGGTATAAAAGAAACTCTGATAGGAACCCTGATATAGATGGGAGACCATGATGTATGGAAGGACTATTACGGACAACTCTGATGGGGTTATTGCTGTTCAGTTATAAAAACGGAGTTTTTCAGATCCATGAATATTTGTAAAATATCCTACATGGCCTTTATTCTGAAAAGTTTGGGGACCCCTGTGATGGAGCATTAATCTACAGAGGACCTGGAGGAGATGTCACAGAAACTGGCATCTCCACAATCTCAGTCTCAGGCTTTAGTAGTTTCCGAGTCAGTGACTCAAAACGAGGCAGTTTAGAATGTCAGATGGAAGTCAGAATTCCTGGTCAGAGTGCTTCTTCTGGGTCGGTTCCTCATAAAGTACTGAAACAACTGGACTACCATGACAGAAACCCAACATCTTAATCTTTGATCACCTGAAGCCTAAGGGTGGATTCACACTTGAGCGTAATGTCTTTAAGCGCACGATTTTTGCACGTTTATACGCGTTTTCATACACGTTTCTACACATTATCAATGCTGTCTGTCAGTGCCGCCTCATCAGGACCCATCAGTGCTGCCTATCAGTGCCCATCAGTGCAGCCTTTAAGTTTATAATAGAAACTAAGAAAATGTGTTTTTTTGTCAAAACTTTTCAGTCTTTTTTTGTTTGTTTAGCAAAAAATAAAACACCCAGTGGTGATTAAATACCACCAAAAGAGAGCTCTATTCGTGTGACAAAATTATAAAAATTTCATATGGGTACAGTGTCGCATGACCGTGCAATAGTCATTAAAGGTGCGACAGCTCTGAAAGCTGAAAATTGGCCTGGGCAGTAAGGGGGTAAAACTCCCCAATAAGCAAGTGGTTAACCACTTGCCGTCTGCCTACTGTTTTTAAATGGCAGGACGGTGTCACTCTAGGGGCGGGTTGCCGTTCATAAACGGCACCCGCATTTTCTAGTTGTGCGCGCGGAGCGCGCGCGCTCCGGTGCCCACTGTGTCCTCTGGACACAGTGGAACACCGATCGTCGGACAGGACCTCTGTACGAGGTCCCGATCATGTGATCACTGATTGGCCAATCAGTGATCATATGCAGAGTAGTAAGCAAGATGTCACTTGTGACATCATTGCTTACTACGTGTGAAATCTGTGAATGATCACAGAGGTCACATGGTACAAGGCTATTCACAACAGCCTTGTATCATGTGACAAGCTGTGACCAATCACAGCTCACTCAGTAGTTCTCAATGGCTGTAAGAATGCAGCCAGAGAGAAGGCGAAATGATTGCTTTTACATCCTATATGGGTGTAAAAGCAATCAGTGTAAAAAAAAAATAAATAAATAAATCTTCATCACACCCCACAAGTAGTACAGTGTCACCATGGTGACACTGTACTGCTTGGGTGACAGTATGTAAAAAAAAACAAAAACATAAATAATAATATAAAAAAATAAAAAAAAATGTAAAAAATGTTTCTTTAAATTATTATATTTGGTTATAAACTAATTTGTGTTATTTTTTTTTACTAAAAAGATAACGGAATAAATTTTGGCCAAGATTTATGAGGAAAATATTATTTATTTGCAAAATTTTATATGAAAAACACTTTTTTTCAAAATCTTTGGACATTTTCATTTAAATAGGAAAAAAAATTAAAATCCCAGGGGTGAATAAATACCACTAAAATAAAGCTTTATCTGTCTCAAAAAAATGCTAAAAAATTCATATAGGTACAGTGTTGCATGACCGCGCAATTGTCATTCAAAGTGTGATAATGCTGAAAGATGAAAATTGGCCTGGTCAGGAAGGGGGTGAAATTGTCTGGACAGGAAGTGGTTAAAAAAGCAACTAGCAGGCTTCTGTATGCTATGCTACTATGTGCGCCACAGTGACGAGGTCACCACATCTTTTACAGTACAATATCTGGGTTTGTAAGGCATTTGGTGCACACAGAGTAGACTTATGTCCTTTGTGGCTAATGAAGAATATGTTTAAATGAAAGTTTTTGTTCAGCTTTAAATTAAAAATGTATGGGGATAAACTACAAGACACATAAAAAAATATCTGTGACAAAAAATGTGCCTGCAGAATTTTGTGTGGAAATGGCTGACGATTTAAAAAAAACAAAACAAAAAACAACATAATTATAACACGATCCTCTGTACCTTGTGAGAACTTTCTGGAATTCATTGTAGAATTACTGCAGGCGACAGTTCATAATTTACCATAGTCCCCTACTATAGATATTCATAAGCAATATCACAGATAATCTGATCTAAAAACTTCTCTGCTCGCTGAAAAAGTTTCACTGGAGTAAAGTTAACGGTATGTTTTCATAACTGACTCCTTGTGCTGTCTTGTTGCAGAAAGTCTTTGATAGCCTCTGTCCAGCGTATTTTTGTTCACCGCGAAAGCTTGATATTCCTTACCGGCACTGTGAACACTTACCTGAGGCTGACACTGAGAAATCTTTAAAGATGAGGCTTGACTTTTTTTAAAATATATTTTATTTAAACATCGAGCAGAAGTCTTGTGTCTTTCCCAGGAGTCACAGAGGCAGCCATGCCATAGGATCAGAGAATATATAATATTACCAGGGAGTAGAGATGCCCCTTAGCTTTGTGGAGATCCCAGAGTGGAATGGCCTGGTTTGACAGCAGATTAGAAATGCAGGAGAGTGTACGTTGTTACTTATGGAACTGTGCTTGTTATAGTCTATGTACATCAAACAACGTCTACAAAGTTAGATCTCATTCTGTGTTTCTCACTATTAGTGTGGTATGTAGTTCTGTATAGCTGAAGAAGTTTACCATTTAGCTCCTGGTGTGTGTCAATTTATCTCCAACACTCTCCATAGCAGATATGTCAAGCTCAAATGGAATAGAGGGAACTCCAGGCAAGATATTTGTATTTAGTTATGGATGGAATGGGCAACTTATCCTTGTTAAGGCAATTTTACCCCACTTGCTTTATGACTACAGGGACAAGATGTGAGGAGAATTCTCTAATAGGTTCAGACATCAATAAAAGAAAATATGCACTCCAACTACCAAAAGTATTATTCTGCACTAAACCTTCATCCTATGTGTTAATTATTTTGTTTGCTCCTTTGAAAAGTCAGTTTATAGGATATGTAATGGTGGAAAAAAAAATTCTGGGTGCAACCAAATATTTTTGGCATTTACATTCTTAATGGTCTGCATAGTTGAAGATGTGGCAGAGGTGGGTCCATTGCCAGATGCATTGTCCTAGAAGGTGTCCCTCGTTCTCATCTCAGAAAGTTGGGAGGTATGCTGTTGGGTATTTCTCTCCTTTTATGTATGGTCACTAGAGATGAGGCCAAACCCATGTTCAGCCAAACCCGGAAAGAAGCTGTCAGTGCCGGCCCAGTCAGTTGCGGCTGGGTAATGCCACAACCTAAAAGTGTACAATCCAAACGCACAGGTTCCTGCGTTAAAAATAGGTGTGTATATAAGTGGGTTCTTCAGCGACCGTCGGCTGGAACCGAACAGAATCAGCATGGGAGAATGTCACCAGCACACCGAGGATCACCAATATGGGTCCAAAAGTTTTAATGAACGATCACATAGTTAAAGCAAGGCAACGTTTCAGAGTCTCGCAGGACCCCTTCATCAGGCATGTGGATCACATGCCTGATGAAGGGGTCCTGCGAGACTCCAAAACGTTGCCTCACTGTAACTATGTGATCGTTCATTAAAACTTTTGGACCCATATTGGTGTCCCTCGGTGTGCTGGTGACATTCTCCCATGCCACAACCTGCAGCCACACGTACACAAAAGGCAGGGATGCTTGTGTAATCATAGACCTCATATGGCCGCATGGGTCGCATGGCTGCATGGGTCACATGCCTGATGAAGGTGTCCTGCGAGACTCCAAAACGTTGCCTTACTGTAACTATGTGATCGTTCATTAAAACCTTTGGACCCATATTGGTGATCCTCGGTGTGCTGGTGACATTCTCCCATGCCACAACCTGCAGCCACACGTACACAAAAGGCAAGGATGCTTGTGTAATCATAGACCTCATATGGCCACATGGCTCTATGAGGTCAATGATATTGACCTCATATGGCCATATGAGGTCAACGATGTCACTAGCATCCCTGCCTTTTGTATACGTGCACCTACAGGGTGGCCACATGGCCATATTAGGTCAATGACATGGACCTAATATAACTATATTAGGTCAATGATGTCACCAGTATCCCCACCCCTTTGGGTACATGCACCTGAAGAGAGGGGAATGACTCAGCTGCAGTGATTGAGCAGACACTGATAGCTTCCTTCCAATATAGACTGAACCCAAGCTCATCCCTAATGGCTACCCGGCGAGACACATATACTGATGGAAAACCTTAACCTACTTTCTCAAAAATGAAAAAGTGTTTACTTCACTTTCTTTATGATTACAAGGACTGGATGTGAGGAGAATTCTCTTGGGTATTCCTCAATAGATACACAGACAGTATTTAAACAATTGAGCAAAATGGAAAACTGGTAGAACCTTGTTCAGTTTTTTTCATTTCTGTCTGTGTGTTAGTTGGGACAATTTGTCCTACATACTGTATGGTCACTGGAGATGAGCTTGGGTTCAGTCCAAATCCTTGTTCGGCCAAACTCGAAAGGAAACTGCCAGTGTCGGCCCAATCGGTCGTGGCTGGGCATTCCCCACCCAGCTGCCTGTACACAAAGGGGCTAGGATGATCGTGACCTCATTGACCTAATGTAGCCATATTGAGTCCAATGCTAAGGATCCCAAGTTCATTAGTAATGGTCATCTAGTGGGACACAGATAATGATAAGAAAAACTTTTTGTTCTGAAGAAAAGTGGTTAAATTTTTGCTGCAGTTCCACCTTGTTCACACAGGCTTGGGTAAGAGTAGTGTATACAGCAAGCTTTTGCAAAGCATTTGTGTAACTTTGAGCAGGGGTATTGAAGCCTTTAAAGCACCATGGGGGGACTCCGGAATAAGCAAATATCATCTAATGATAAAAGACGTGTAATCTTAGTTGTATCTTGGTGCGCTTTGTGTATTTCTTCCAGATTTGTGCAGTTCTCCAAAGTGAAACTTTACCTCTGTGCCGGAGTTTCCTGTAATAAAGACCAGTCACTGCTGTTCTCTTTCCTTGTGCAGGGTAACAAGTCTTGTCTCCGCACCCCCTCCCCCTGGAATTTTCTTCAGGCAGCCTTTAGTGGTTGGGATTGCTGAATATAATTTTTTTGTATGCAGAGTTTAGTGTTAATTTAAGGATCCAGAAACCAAGTGTTCACTGTGTATTAATCTTTTGAAGTATAGAGTGAGTTATAGAATTGTCTATGGCCCCATTTAGATAAAATTCCTCACCTAGCTGAGGGTCACAAAGAGTAGGTAAGAGGGCTGCAGGTAGCCAGGGGTGTATTTACCACAAGGCAAACAAGGCATTTGCCTAGGGCGGTATTTTTCAGGGGGGGCAGCACTTCCCCTCGGAAGAAGGGACACACACGGCATGGGGACCTGATGGGTTCCGAGAGAGGCTGCGGGTTTCATGATGGTGTATGCATAGCCCGACTCTCATTCCCGGGGATGTCCAGAGCTGTGAAGGTGAATGTCTTTCTCTGTCTCACAGTGGCGGATGGTGGCAGATTGTTGGTCAAAGTTAGGCTATCTCTGGGGGGGGGGGGGGGGGGGGGGGGGGGGCGATTTTTGTGTTGCCTAGGGCAGCACAAAACCTATATACACCACTGCAGGTAGCCAAAAGAGAAAAACTGTTTGATTGCTCTATAGTTCGTACATTAAAGGGAAAATTCTATGAGAGAAATAAATGTGTTTCCGTTCCTGGCCCCCTTCTGAGAAAGCTAATTCCCTGGCTTTTAGGCACATCCCATAGTGAGCCCCTGATCAGCAACAACATGCAGCCAGTGAAGCTGTAGGTCGTGATTTTTTTGCAGGTCAATGACATATGAATGAATGCCTTTTGTATGGCTGTGTAAGTGTATGTTCATATAACCACAATATTATATACAAGAATATTAGTGTTTTCTAATTATTTTCAGGAGGAAGACATTTTGGATCTTTTGGAACAGTGCGAAATAGATGATGAAAAGCTGTCTGGAAAATCTACTCGGCACAGAGAACCACGGGTACGTAGAATAGTACTCAAGGTCATGACATGTTCTGTCATTATACAGTAAAATGCATTGGAGTTGATTCAAAAAAAGCAAATTAGACTAGGCAAGTGAAGTTGCATTCTGCAAGTACAGTTGCTCCAGAGTTTAGTAAATGAAGGAAAGTATGCTGATTTCCATTATCCAATCATGTGCAAGCAAAAGTGCTGTTTTTTTAATTTCCTTGCATGTGATTGGGTACTCTTGCAAAGTGAAACTTCACCTCATTTACTAAGCTCTGGAGCAAATGCACTTGCAAAGTGCACATTCTGTTTGCCCTTAGTAATTCAACCCCATTGCTTCCAATTTTACATCCTAGAACAGCTCTTAGTCCTAGGCAGGCCATAGACGAGTCAAAAATCAAACATTCTGTCGATCAAAACATGAAAACAATACGACTGTGCCATCATATGTTTCGTTTCTCGAAACAAAATCCAGCATGTTGGATCAGGCACGAAAAACAAATGATCAACAATTTTCTTTTGGTTTTCAGCTCGTCTCTGGCTGGCTTTAGGTTGGCCATACTTGATTCATTTTTATTTTTTCATTTAAGCAGTGAGCTGAATAGAAAAGTGAACCAATTCCCCCATCCACACATTTGATGTGGATGGGGGAATCAATCACACTGAGCTATTGTAGCCATTGTAGCATACAATGACCAGTGCTTCTGGCTTTAGCTGATGGCACATGTCATTCGGACCTAACTGTATTTATTGCAATATGTTTCCATTTCATATGTAGTACATTATTTTATAATAATGAAAAGTGTTAATGCAAAAAGAATCAGCTGATTATCCAAGAGTCAAAAACAACTGTGGCACTCTCATCCGAAAAAACCCAAAAGGATCGGAATCAATTCCGATCATTTGTTATGTGATTGCGTTTTTTCGGATGCTTCAAACTTTAACAAAATGCCCAAACTATTGCATCATTTTATCCAAATGAAACAAATGAATATGAATGAATTTGCTGTATACATTATGATTTATTTTGGATTCGTTTAAAATATTTACTGTTGTGATTCAGAGATTCAGATACATCCAGATCTCCAAATAATGAAAATTTTGTCTGAATTTGGATTTGTAACACAAGGAATTGCACATGTCTAGTGTAGGCTGTGTTGCCAACCTACCAGACTGAAATTCACTGACCCGACACCCAACATTTACAGGCACAGCCAAGTTTTTACTGTCGTTTCCAAAAGCTAAAAAAAGTTACAGTTTTAAGTGGAAATTTCAGTATTTGGGCTACAAATAAGTACAATATGTCAATAGCAATGTGTTTTAGGGTAGATATTAAGGCAAAAAACATATTTCTTATTTTATTTTTGATATAGTAAGTAAGTAGCTCAGGGACAGGACTCAGGTGGGCAAGAAATTAGAATGGGCGGACATGAAACTGACTGTCACAGTGACACTGACAGCAGTGTGTAGCAGCCAGGGGTGGACTGACCATTTGGAAACTTGGGTATTGCCCGAGGGCCCAGGGTTAGTAGGGGGCCCCATGAGATGCCCCTGGTACCTTTTTCATAGGCTTTTTTTAGTTTGGGCGAGGACACAGGGGCCCCATGATCCCCTATTGCCCGGGGGCCCCATGAGTTGTCAGTCCGGCCCTGGTAGCAGCACAGATGATGATGACACTTCACTGACATGACAAGTCCGCTTCTGTGTCAAAGTGATAGTCTCTCTCCATGCCAGGTGGTTACTTTAGTCCACTCCAGTCCAAACCGCACTAACAGTCCCGCTCACAGCTTGCCTCCCGTCCCGCACACCCGCACACGAGGCTCCGGCCGCTCGGCTCGGCTCGCTTGCACCATGACATCACATGACATCCGCCAGAACCACTTTCCCCCCTGCTGACACAGCACGGACACAGTGTAGCAGGCACTCAGATGGTCTTGGCTGGATCCAGACCGGAACTGTGCATGTGCAGTTCCGAGCTGAGCGTCACAGCCGTATTTGTTGGCATCCTTTTTCTGTCGCTGGCATTTACTGGCAGCAGAAAAGTGTCCATTTTTTACTGTCTGCCAGTAGAAATACTGACAGTTGGCAGCACTGACTGTAGGACATCTTATAAAGCGTTTGGACTGTAAATGGAGAGAAGGAAACACTTTTAATAAGTGTGCATTATGCTCTAATAGTTTATATGATTACCTACAATCCTTTGTTTTAGGAACAAATATTCTTTAAACAAAAGTGTTCTTTTAAACATTGAAAGTTCTCATTATTACTTGTGCCGATTGCCAGGATGACGAGGACCTCACCAGCAGTCCAGTGCAGCGTCTGGACCATTAAGCCTCTCTTTTCATGTATTAATCCCTCCTCTCCTCCCCATATAAATATACCACTTTAATCAGGCAGATGAGTCTTCCATAGCGGGCTCATGAAAGGTCAGCGTCATTATCTCAGCGACAGTGGGACCTGCTGTGGTGACATTGAGTATTTTTTTAATAGTTTGCGTACAGAGCGGATAATACAGAATGTTATTTATGTGACTCCAGGGGAGCTCTCAGTGCTTATTACACACTTTCTGTGCTGATGGGATTTTGATTCTGTTTCATTTCTCCGCATAGAAGCTATCGCACAGCCTAGAGTATGTTATTTAACACTTAGGGTTATATTTATATATAAAACATTGAACTCTGGCACATTCTTGAACTTGGATTCAACTTCTTTTGCTATCATCTGTCCACCCTGTTGCTGGAAGCTATAGAATCTTGCTGCCCCAATGTGAAAAGGGCAGATGACTGTCATCTGCAAATGAGGACTCGGGGGCTAAAAGACTCATTAGCATGGTGGTACATATGCATAGGGTGAGTGAGTGGGATCAAGTATCACAGGACTTCCATAAAAATAAGTGGTAAATCATTCATGCAGAGCTTCACTGTTCCCGGTAGCTCTTTACTACGCCACTGTCAGTAATTCTGGCACATAGGATGCCAAAAAAATTTGGGAAGGGTCAGAATCTTTGTCAGTTTTCTGTTGTCTTTATCCACTTTGAGAGTTCTGGTGACACATTCTAGAGCAGCCTTTCTCAACCTTGTGAACTTTAAGGAACCCTAAATCAACTTTCTAGTCTCAGGGAATCCATTCTAATAATTACGATATCTACAGCTCTTGGCACATTATCGTGATGGTGAGTGGGAAGAATGGTGTTTACATTTGTGGTCAGTTTGGAAATGTCCCCTTACAGATCGCTAAAAAGATCATTGGTGTCAGTAGTTACTTATCTAAGGAGCAGAAATTGCTCCTTGCTCAAGGAACCCCTAGCAACCTCTGGAGCAGGGGTGGACTGACCATTTGGAAACTCGGGCACTGCCCGAGGGCCCGGGGTCAGTAGGGGGCCCCATGAGATGCCCCTGGTACCTTTTTCATAGGCTTTTTTGAGTTTGGGCAAGGACCCTGGTACCTTTTTCATAGGCTTTTTTGAGTTTGGGCAAGGGCCCCATGATCCCCTATTGCCCGGGGGCCCCATGAGTTGTCAGTCTGCCCCTGCTCTGGAGGAACCCTTGGGTTCCACGAAACCCTGGTTGGGAAAAACTGTTGTAGAGTAACAGAGGGTTTGGAACCTCTTTTAAAGGGATTTTAAAGGCTTGAATTAAAAAAAAAAAAAAAACAAAAACAACAAACATGTCTACACTTACCTGCTCTGTGCAGTGGTTTTGAACAGAGCATCCCAGATCCTCCTCTTCTCTGGTCCCCTGCCCAAGCTCCTGGCACCTGCTTCCTGTTGAGTGCCCCCACAGCAAGAAGCTTACTATAGGATCATCTGAGCATTTACAATCCCCAGCAGCTTCTCTCTGTGTCCATTCACACATGGAGCCGCAGCTTGGCTCTGAGGAAGAGGTTGTGTCCTCGAAACGCGTTAGCCAGTTGGTCATCCAGGGTTCCATCGTATGGACTCAGATGTTGTTTGGATCATACACCTTGTTCAGTTTGACATGCCTGTGTTATGTCCATTGTGAGTATGATACCTATTTTTGTTTCTTTAATAAATTATTTTAAACGATAATGCACTAGGTCGGTGCGCCCTTTTTCTGTTTCTCCATTTGTATCCAGTGTATTCGGACCACCCCGGTCTGTTGAGGGCAGCAAGCAGTGCATATTCCAGAAAATTCCAGAACATTCCTATTGGGTCTACTGAGTCCTTTCCTAGCACAGGAGTAAAGTGTTTGTTGTGTTGAATTTACAATCCCCAGCAGCTTCTCTCTGTGTCCATTCACACATGGAGCCGCAGCTTGGCCCAGATCCTCCTCTTCTCAGGTCCCCTGCCAGCACTCCTGGCCCTCCCTAATGTTGGGTGCCCCCACAGCAAGCAGCTTGCTATGGGGGCATCCAAGCATGTGCAATCCCCAGCCACTGCTCCATGTGTTCAGTCACACATGGAGCCGCAGCTTGGCCCTACCCCTCTTTCTTCTCATTGGTTCACTGGTTGTGATTGACAGCTAGTGGCTTCCGCTGCTGTCTCAGTCAATGAGGAGAGGGAGTCCCGGGATAGCAGAGACTCCAGTGCACATCGTTGGATCGAGAGGGGGCTTAGGTGAGTATTATGAGGGGCAGGGGGGGGGGAATGCTGCATAGAATACATGAAGGTAAAAAAACCTAAGCCTTTACAACCACTTTACATTTACCTTTTTCTGTCTGTGTTTCCATTGGGGTAATTCCCCTCACTTCCTACCCCCAGTCAGGAGATGGGACTCCCCTAAAGGGACACTAAAGGCAGTTTGGCTCTGATGAAGGGGGTTCCTTCAAAATGTGTAAGCCAGCTGGGACTCTGGTGAGGTCCCCCTATATTTTTGAGTGGTTCGATAAGCGATTTTAACTCATGTGTTTGTGAGTAGAATTCATGTTGTTTTCTAATAAATTTTGTGGGATAATTCACTAGACTGGTGTGTCCTCTTTTGTTCATTTTTATTGTGGCTACAGGACATTCCCCAGTCCTAGAGGGCAGCACTGCTTATATTGATCACCCCTATGAAG